AAAAAAAAAAAAAAAAAAGTACTTTCTGGACCAAAAAAATGGGTTATTCAGAAAGAGGAGTCATGTAAAAAGTTAGCAAAAAAAAAAAAAGGCAACCTCTTGCATTGGTTCAGTGCCTGGGAATTTAAAATTGAGTTCTGCAGGGTCAGCTTGATTTCTTAACATCTACCCAATTCTGAGAAACAAAAGAGATACACAGCTACACTGTTTTGAGTGTAGATGTGAGTGCATGTTTATTTATCACCACGTGTGAGCTCACCCCTGTGAGAGACATGGAAGATTCAAGCAAAGGCTTATCTCAGTTTATTTAAAAACTAGAGTTTCCATAAAGCATACTTTTTGGATGATAGACCCTACATTTTGCACGAGACCTAAAGGCATTTGGAGGGGTTCTCAGCAATTAGGAAGGTGAAGGACAGGGATCACAGCTGCAGCCCTGCCTGTCCCCTTTTTTAGTCCTGGCCAAGTCGTTCTTTCTAAAATCAGGTTTCCTTTGTAACTGGCCTCACCATTATGACCTACACGGACTAGAGTTAACTGGGACCATGACACACAGACAAGCAGACCAATGTGGACACAAAGGGATGCTCTCTATTATCCATTCAACTTCACATATACACGTGCGCGTGCACACAGGTGAGCCAATGGCTGCTCTTGAATGGCTTTAGCTCTCAACTTGTCCTACCCAGTGGATGTGAGACAGCTTCCTCAAACCTGCCTCGTCCACATCCAGCCCCATGGCAACACTGAAGCTTGCTAACAGATGGTATAAAGCAGAGGCTTCTTGTTTTCCAGATTTTTGAGAGGGCAGATTCTCCTCCAACTATGAAATCACATAAAAGGTTGGTTTAAAACGCATATATTCAATCTATTCCATTGCTTGAGTTTTCCACTCCAGCAGTTGATTACTTACTCAGTTAATCTGGTCCGCTGGTCCTTACATCATAGCTCCCCAGGAAACCATCCCATGATACCAGGCTAGGATAGGGACAGAGCTTTCCTCTGGGTTTCTCTGGGCGGCTGAACAATTTTGTTCAGTGATCACTTTTATCATCATGTGTCCAGCTATTTTATGAGAAATAAACTGTCAAACTGTTTGCATCTTAAAGAAGCCACTGACATTTTCACACTTGGGATAAAGTGTGGAATCCAGTGGACTTTTGTACCGGTCGCTTTCCTGTCCCCAGGCTACAGAGGTCATTTAATTTAGATAATCAGACTGAAGGCTGAAGGCTGGGCAGCCACCCTCTTCTGCAAACATAGATCTCCAGGAAGCCTTCACAGTTTCCAAATGATTTTATTCATGTCCCTTTTTATGTTGCAGCAACAGTTGTGGGTTTTTAGGCAAAACTGTGTGTTTCGTCTGGTGCCCATCTGGTGGTGTATGCCTGCGTGCTCTTGAAGGCCAGTGTTGAATGAATGGGAATGCAGGACTGGTTAAAGGTTTAAAGCGAAAAGATCATATGAAGAATGCGCTGTTTTCTCATTTTTCACTTGATCCCGCTTCTCACCGCCATACCTGGAAAAGCAGACGTTCTAAAGATGTAAAAGGGAGAAACAGGGAAAGAGGAGAGAACAGACAGAAGCCAGGGTAAATAAACTCCTTTAAGTCCTAGGAGATCTATCCTAATAGCCTTTTTTAAAAAAATGTAAGGTTTTAAAAAAATTCCTTTTTACTGAGACCTGTTGTTTTAAAACAAAAACATGCAGTCTATATTTAAAAAAAAAAAAGAGGTGCAGAGCGGGGCTCATGTGGAAGATTGTTTGAATCACGTTTCACTCCACGGGGAAGGTGAGGTCTTGTATGGAAAGGGACCACCCAGAAGCTGAATTGGCTTTATTATAACAATTGCCATCTTAAGACTGGTTTGGCAGCAGATCCTGAACTTGGACTTCGGCCCCACTGACTCTGTGCATTGGTCCTGTTGGAAGGGGACTTTGATGTATACAAACCTGTGGGCACAATTGCTTTGTGCTGAGAAAACAATGGCTTGTGTGTGGCTGGGAGCTGGGAGGTGACACAGGTAAGTAGGATTTGAGTGTCAGTAGAGTCAGTGGGCAAATACCTTAGTGTTTTGGTCTTTTTCTGCATCTGCCCTCCTGCACTGGGATCTCAGGTGACCCCAGAGCCTTTCCAGCTTGGGAGTCTGTCTGCCCACCCCTCTGGAGGCGGGGACAACAGCCCACTGTTCTGATTCCAGGCACTACAGTGGATGTAAAACCAACCGGCCTCTCTAAAAATTTATGGCTCTCAGAAGAAAAAGACAAATCAATATACATTTTCTTAAAACCTACTGTAGAGCTGTCATGCCTGACTGCTTTGCCGAGATTTAACCTGGAAGCTTCAACATTAATTTGGGCTCTGTGTTTTGTGAAACCCATTTTTCTGCCTCCTACACTGAAGACTAATGTTTATACTCATTTAGTATTAATATCAGGATGCCTTGAGTTTCTGTACTTGCTGGAGAATATATTTAAGAATATTTTTGTAGCTCCATTTGTTTCTTGAGTGTGAGTTATTCTCACCATTTGCCTTTGCTAGGACTCAAAATCCGGTGTTTATCTAACGGGAGTCTGTTCTCTCTGTGGTTTCAGGTTTGGAAAGAAATCCCGGCCCGCGATGTACGACGCGACCCCCATTGCTTATGAGGGTTACAGTCCTGATGACAAACCCTTGGTCACACTGATTAAAACAAAGGATTTGTAATCTTTTTTTTTTTTTTGAATTATTTTTCAAAAAGATGGGGATACTACACTCATTTAAATATTTTTAAGAAAATTAAAAAGCTTAAGAAATCTAAAACATTAGCTGCCCAAGAGTTTTCGGTAGGATATGGAAGAACTAATTTTCTGCAGCTTTTAGTTTGGAAAACAGTATTTTAAAAATGGGATTTGTGAAATCCCTAGACTACGTTTTAACGTACTTTCAGCTCTCTAAACTGTATGCTTCAAGTAGTGTGTGCCCTTCCCACAGTAGGACCCTGCCATGAAACCCACAGGTGTTCCTGGGGTTGTTACAGAGGAAGTCTAGCCGCGGAGCAGTTTCTTTTTGACATGTGAGTGCCAGCTTTCTGCGTAGAGTAGGAAAAACGTGTAAGGTAGTGTATGATGTATAATACAGTGTACCCGTTACTTAAAAAGAAGCCTGAAATGTTCGTTTTGTGGAAAAGAAACTAGTTCAATTTATTATTCCCAACCCGAATGACATTAGCCTCTGCCTTATCCTGTGCATGGGTAAGTGACTTATTTCCGCACTGTTCCATTGAGCTTTGCAGAAAGGTTCTTTTGAGTTTGTTGTTGTCATTTTTGTAACAGCTGCCAAACTTGGTCTTGAAGACGTACGCGACAGAAGGGCCTAGGGAGGCGAACTATGATTGATTTCGATCTCTATTTTTCTTTTCGCAGTCAAGGTTTTTCTATTGTGAGTAAATTAAATTTTCGTTTGAGCTGTTCATTGCTAAGAGGTAGTAAATGTAAGAGAGTACCAGTTCCTTCAGTAGTGAGTGTTTCTCCATAGTGCATCTTTATTTATATTCAAGACATTTTTTGTGGCTGTATTTGATGGATATGTGCTTCTTCTGATTCTTGCAAATTTCAAAGAATATTGAATAAATGTTAGCAAGTCACAGATGTACTTGTCTCTTTTGTTCTTTCAAAATTACATGAAATAATTTGGATCTGACATTGGTTGTCATACAATCCCACTGTTTATGACGTTTTAAGTCATCTGAGCAATACGTTAACTGTGGTTTGCAGGTGATTGGAATCTGTTCCCCAAAGGTCATGCATTGGAAGCATGATCTCTGTCTTAGTTACTTTTCTCTTGTTGCTGAGACAAAATACCTGACACCCGAAATTCAAGGGCGAAGGGGTTTATTTAGCTTACAGTTTGTAGAGGTTTCAGTCCCTAATCAGCTGGCTCCAAGGCAGGGATGGCAAACAGGTATCACAGAGGAGAAACAACATGGCATACACAGAGTAGCAAGAGCAACAGGGACCTTCACAGTGTCTTTCTGCCCCTTTTATCCTGTCCGGACTACTGGGTTTCAGGTGGTGCCAAACCAGTCATTCATGTGTAGTGGTTTAGTAATCACATGCCCTTAGTTCCAGTGTCACACACTCTAGATTTAGCCACCTCCAAAGAAGACTGCATGAGGGTTAGGGGACATCTAGACACAAGCCACAGCAGTGCCCAACGCAGCAATATGTGAGCAGGGGGAGGGGCCTAGAGGTGGAGCCTAATGAGACAGGCTTAGGTCACAGGGCAGCTGCCCTCAGAAGAGATTAAATCCAGTTTACCCTCGAGTTATGACCAGCCTGACCTACAGACAAGTTGGATTACGACCAGACCAGAAATTTAGTTTTAATTTATGAACAAAAGCCTTGAGTTCCAACCCAAATGCCTGCTGCTTGTGCTTTCAGGTAGTGTCAGATACAGATTTAACCCTAGAAGTGTTCTGGAAGGATCATGACAACATCCTTTCCTGTGTGGGGTTAACTGAGAAATCCTGGGCCAGTGCCTCTCTAAGGACACTGAGATCTGCCTGTGTATAGGAAAGAGACTTTGAAGGCTGTGTAGAGGAGCCTGAGCCTTCAGTTGACAAACCTGAGTTATAGCCAGCCCTCGGGAACAAACAATTCCTATGTCAAGGGTCCACTGTAGTTCTCACAAGAATGCATTGATACAAGTCAGTCCAATCCCTGGGCTTCTCTCTGGCTTCCTTTTTGACAAAGCAATCTCTTTCTTCCATGCACACTCCAGTCCACCATTAGGCACACCCTGAGCTCAAACTAAGGAGGCTCCCTGATCTTAGGCTTTGAATCTCTAGAACGGTGAGCTAAACAAACCTCGTTTCCTTATAAAGTTAGTCTGTATCTGGTACTTTGTTATAGTAAAGCAAAATGGACTAATACGACTTAGTCACTGCCAGGGCCACTCGCTGCCCCTCTGGGAATTGTTCTTCCCTCTTGATGGTCAGTTGGCTGGTGCTGCTTATCAACAAGAAGGGCGGAAAAATAAGACTTCTTATTCAAAGGTGAACATCCGAATTTGCCAGAGAAATGCAGGATGTGTAATGTGGAGGCACAAGAAATCCAGAGATGCCTCTAGGCATGGTGAGCAGGCACCTGTGGCCTCAAGAGATATCGTATATACTGCTCTCCTTCTGAGGTCAAATGAAATTGCCTTAGCAAACAGCCGCCTGCAGGCAATTTGGAGCCGTTCTGTATTCAATTCCACTTTGTAGCTAAGCATTGTGCGGGAGTCCCAGAGTCATTTTGAACAAAGCATTTTTAACTCCACATGGAAACACTTGGGAAGACCAAGCCATGTCCTGAAATCAGGTGCAAGGGAGGGTTTTAAGCAGAAGGAATAATTGAGATGCTTTTTCTTCACTCTCTACCCTCAGAACATCTGTCCCTAATCTTCTAAATGCCATAGCGGTACACCCACACTCTGAGTATTAAATGATACAGTGCAATATGTTAATATTTTTAGTTTGTTTCAGTGTTTAGAAGTAAAGCAAGAACCAAATGTTAACTCCGTAGGTTAAGCAGCCATGGGAACACCCAGCAAGGAGTGTCACACAAGCCTTGTTTACTCCTATCTTTCTATAACAGATAGTTGGAGTCGGGCGTGGTGGTGCCAGCCTGTCATCCCAGTGCTCTGGGGGCCTGAGGCAGGAGGATTGCAAGTTTGAGCTCAGCCTGGGCAATTCTGAGTAGCGAGACCTCATCTCAAAAGTAAAAACAAAAATGACTTAAAAAGGGTGGGGATGTGCCTCAGTGCAGCAGCCCGGCTTTCAGTTCCCAGGATAGACTTAAACAATACGAAAGAAGGCTGACCAGAGGCACCCGGGAATGCTGGTGTGAGTGGAGCTTTGTCCCCATGGACTCGCCTGCATGCCCCAGGATAGTGTCCACATTACTTGCGTTTCCTTTCTGCAGTCTGCATTTAGCAGCTGTTTCAGTCACACCCTTTCAAATCACTCGTCTCGCAAATTCTTGAATTCATTACATGTGATGCCCCTTAAAGGACTTACCTGAAACACTGAACGGTCATAATTTGTCTCCTGCAAGCAAGTTAATGGAGCCTCCTGCTGCAGGTCTGGGGCAGAGCCTGTGGACAGCCTGAGAGCTGAGGAAGCTGAGCGAGTCTAGAAACATTTGCTCGTTCATCCGGACAGGTGGGACAATCATCTCCTGTGCCAGGCAGATCATGAGCCATGACAGCCGCTCAGAAAGATCTCCACTCCTGAGTTTGTTGCTTGTCTCGAAGCACACCTTCTCCTAATAAACAAACTCCAAATTATACTTCACCGAGCACGGTGAGGGGAGGTAAACTCTGCTCCGAGGCAGCTATTTGTAGCAGAGTACAAAGCCTGGCTTTAATCATTTATATGCTAATGACTTGGGCTAAGCTTCCTAATTGGGAAAATGGGGGAATAATGCTAGGACCTCCCCTGGAGGTCATTGCAAGAATTAAACACCAGAATTCATGGAAATCACTTGGCCAACTCCCAGTGCTCATGAGGCACTTGGCCCTGGTGAGCTGTTATTGGGGCCATTCTTATTTTACATACAGACATAACCCAGTAGGTGAATTGGCCTGTTTCAATGGTGGTGACTGCGGTCTGCAGTTAACACATCCCGAATGTGTTCACGGCCCTCCGGCAAGTGCTGGGCATATTCTCCAAGGGCACTAAACCCTCCATTTTGCTCGAGGTGCCATGCAAAGGGCATTTCATAACCAAGAGCAAACTGGTGCTCAGGATGGTCTGAGTTGGCACTGGGCTCACGAGTGGACTTGGAATTAGCTCTGCTTGAATCCGGGGGCTTGCACACACCGGGCAACTGTGAGTAAGGAAGAGCTCACTGCCCGCCTGCAATGGTGTCTCAGCTCCTGAGGGAGGTTTCCAAGCTCTTTGTACCTGCAAGGAAGTGGCATAACCACATACATTTCTCCCACAGGGTCTGCAGAGTTGAGAACCAGTTACTCTGACACTGAAGTCTCTGCAGCACAAAGGGGCTGGGACTGTCCTCAGTTTCCAACTATTGATTGTACCTTACGGTTTCTGCTTCATTTCCTGTGGCTATAACTGTCTTTGCTTTTTGAACAATATATTCTGGGTGTCATTTTCTCTGAGAACTGAGGGTTTTCTGGGAGTCTGACCACTGATACTTTTCCCAAATCCTGTTATAGGTCAAGTTAGAAACAAACAAACAATAACAAAAACTTTTAGGTACAAACACACAAAAGTCACAAATTTTACTATTCAAGAAATTTCCAGTTTATGTATAGCAGCAACCCTACAAACTATTGGAAAGAAAGAGATATTCAAAATAGTTACAAAATTTTAAATAAACAGCAACCCTCCAGCACCAGTGTCTCACTCCACCACTGTCATTTCTCTACTGTTCTCCTCCTGTGCCAGTGCACTGAAGGTTCTCACCTCCTTTCCCAGCTTCCTTTGTTTTTAGAGGTGATGTGGGCTCAGTGTTGGTCAGTAGAACCTCTGAGGAAACTGCTTGGATCTTCCTAAAAATCTTTTCTTCCTTCACGAGAGAGTGATAGTCAGTGGTGGATCATCAGATGTCTCTGAGCAGTGGGAAGAAAGAGTTTTATTATGCTGTAATTGAAGGGGCATAGATTTCTAGCATTCTTTATAACAAGGTTCCACTAATCCTGATATGATGAGAATTACTCTTCAACCCCAGTTGTTTCCAAAACTGAGCAAAGGGAATGGAAATGGGGTTAAATTATTGCTGACAGGCCAAAAATCTGGCCCACAGTTTGTTTTAGGGTCACCTTCAAACTGTTGTTGTGTATATTAATTTTTTAAATAAATTTTTGTTTTAGGATAAATTTTGATGGGGGGGGAAAATTGAACATAATAAGAGAACTTTCTTGTTCTTCACACGTGGTTTTCTGTCTGAACATCTTACTTTACTTGTTGTAATTAATGAACCCATGTTAATGTGTCATTATTAACTAATGTTCACACTTAAATCTAATTTCCTTAGTTTTTACCCAGTGGCCTCTTTGTTGTGCCAAGGTCACATCTGGGACATCACACTGCTTCTGGTTATCACATCTTAAGACAACTTGCCTTGTTCCCGAGTGAGGATCAGGTTAAAGTCCGGCTGAGTCAGGAGTGCTGCACCCATCTCATGAGAAAACTCCAAGGCCTGTTAGGGCTGGAATAACCCACCCCCTCGGCTGTGTAGAGCTCTGACCTTAGACAGATAAACTGTTCCTCTCCAAAACCTCTAAAGTCCTGACTCCATTCTCCTCAGCCCCTAAAGCATGCAATCCTAAAACTAACATGTGGCCAATAACGATGTGCCAAATATCCTGACTCCACCCTGGCTCCACCCCCTCTTACCCTATATAAGCCTGTGCATTTCCGGAAAAGAGTGGAAGCTTCCAGAAACCTCTCTGGACTCTGTGTAGCGATTCGGCGCCTTACCCTCCCAGTCTGCATGTGGGCTCGCGGATGAAAAACAACAATTGGCGCCCGGACAGGGGACTTGCGTATACTGGATAATTATTGAAGTTTCGGGTAAGGATCTCTATTATGGGTAATGTCATGAGTCAAGAACAGCCGGTACAGGCTGCCTTAGTAAAGGATCCTCACTCCGAAAAGGCGTCTGAGGCGGTTTCAGCCCTAACTCAGGTGAGTGTAGGGCTGAGCGCTCTAAAGATGGTGGACAAAAGCCTCTTACAAAAGCTGGCGCGGGCGGGCTCTCTCTTCCGCTTCTTCCACAGAGGCGTCAGCCCTGCCCACTGGTCTCTACTTCCTGTCACACCCCCTCCTCACTGGAATAATGGTCATTGTCGGATGAGGAGAAACAATCCTTTGATCGGGTCTTAGCGTGGTTTTCGGGTCCTCGGCCTCCTTCAAAGCCAGGCCGGCCCAGCTGAGAGCTCCAAAAAAATTTCGGAGCGAAAGACCTGCAGCTTTGGGGCGCCGGGGCCTGCTGAGCTGGGGGGCGGGGGCGCTGGTTGGCGGCCGAGTCCGACAGACAGCCACAAGGTGGCCGAAGTTCCTTTTGTCTTCCTGGCCTCTGCTGTTCCTGCTTCCCACTGCGGATCGTGCCCCGGCTGCTTGAGGCCCCACTCCCCGGGGTGCGTTAGGGCCCAGCAGGGCCCAGAGGGTTGCAAGCGTGGAGTCGAGGCTGGCGAGATGGGGCTGCGCGGTCCCCAATGTGCAGCCGTGGGGACTGGTTGCTCCCTGGCCTGTGGCTGCTGGCGCTGAGTGGTGGTGGTGGGGGCTGTGGCGCCCCCAGGAAGAGCCTTCTTGCTGCAGAGCCTTTGATCGCTACTTCGTCCTGGACAAATCCTCAAGTACCTAACCCCCCACCTCTATCTTGTTCTGCCTTCCCCTTTCATGTTTGTTTTACCCCTTTTATTGATCCTTCTTTGTTTAATCATACAGAAACTTGGAGTTTATATTTTGCTAGAACACCCCTGGCCCTTTGGGTTCCTGTTGATCTCCATGTGGAATGACAAAATTTAGGTCCTCTCTTTAATCTTATGCTTTATCCCCGGAGTAAGAAAGATTTTAAAGTTTCTGCCCTTATTGCTGTCATCGTTTCCATGGTGGCAGCTATTTCCACCACAACAACGGCAACAGTCACCTCACAAAATCAAGTGGCAACGGCAGCAATGGTCAACCAGCTAACAAAAAACACCACCCAAGCCTTCAAAAAAGACCGCCCTATTTCTAGATGTCCACCCAGCGGTACTCAATTTACAGAGCCAATTAAACTTGGTTTGGGAGGAATTAATTCCCAGGCGTTAGATGTTGTGTAACTTTAAATAATGTGTGGGATACCATTTGGTCAAAAATTCAGGCTGGATGGAATAATCTGAGTAGTTGGATACGTGGATTGATATTGGGATTCCCATATATATATTACCCTTGTTTGGCATATTGTTACTGTTCTTTAACAGTGAAATGTAACAGTAAAAATGTGGTCCTTTTGGCTGAGGCTCTGGAGTCAAAGACAAAAGGGGGATCAGGTTAATGTCTGGCTGAGTCAGGAGCACCTCACCCATCTCTCGTGAGAAAACTCCGAGGCCTATAAGGGCTGGAATAATTCGCCCCCTCATGTGTGTAGAGATCTGACCTTAGATAAACTGTTCTCAGAAACCTCTAAAGTCCTGAGTCCAATCGCCTCAGCCCCTAAAGCATACAGTCCAAAAACTAACATGTAGCCAATAATGATGCGCCAAATATCCCGACTCCACCCTGGCCCCACCCCTGCCTTACCCTATCCAATAGCGATCTAGTAGCACCACCCTGGCTCCCCCCACCCCTTAACCTATATAAGTCTGTGCATTTCCTGAATAAAGCAGAACCTTCCCGGAGGACTCTGCATGGTGATTGCAAACCTTGCCCTCCAGGTCCGGGCCCCCGCATCTTGTTCCACTAGCGGGCAAAAACAACACCTGAGGACCCTGACAGTTTTGAGGAGTATTTGCCAAGTACTGTATTCCAAAGAAAGTTCCTCTGTATTGATTTTTATGCTGTTTTACTCATGAACCCAATAATATTATAGGTTTGGTAAGGAAGACCAAATCAATGCCATTTTCATCTTGTCAGATCAATGGTTGCTGGCTTATCTTGGTCACTGGGCTGAAACAGTGTTTGTCAGGCTTCTCCACTACATGAACTACTCTCTCTGTCTCTGGCTGGCGCTCTCTCTCTCTCTCTCTCTCTCTCTCTCTCTGTCTCTCTCTCCTCTCTCTTTGTGCTGTGCAAACTAAATCAGCTGTAATTGTTAGCTGAACAGCAAATGAACATGGGGGAGTTAGATGCTAAGTATTAGACACACATCACTGCACCATGTGTTGATAATAAGACATTAATAGTGATGAGAACAGGAAAAGGAGCTCCTAGAAGGGATTACCTGGCAGACTCTGGAGAAGCGGGGAAGGTTCCTTGACATGCAAAGTCTAAGTCAGGACCTGAGGGATGGAGGGGGAATTAACTAGATGAGAGAAGGGATGAGGTGCATGGTCTCAGCAGGTGACAGTGGGCACTGTGGAGTGGCTGAAAAACTTGAGCCAGGCTGGAGCAGCAGGTGCCAGGTTAGGATCCCAGCAGTGTCACTCCTAGGTAACTGCCTAAGGGCGTCAGAGGGGTGTATTTTAAAAAGTGTCACGCAAGAATATTTACCCTGACTGTATGTGACATGGTCCCCAGTACACAAGTGTTCCCCTGAAAGATAAAGGAGAACATCATCTGAGATATGCAGCAACACATCTGGAAAAACAACAGTAGAGGATGAGGTGCCTTCAATTAATGTGAGATTTTGGGTCAGGGAAAAATCAATTTAGGGATATAAAAATTGAAGTAGCACTTAAGTTAAAAAAAAAAACATGATAAAGGCATCAAAATACTGCAAGAGAGAGGGTTAGTTGCTTGAAGACAGAGGGGTGAGCTGTGTCCCAAAGACCTCAGGGTGAAGGAGAAGCACAGATATCCCACATTGGCTGGGGAGGAAGACTGTGCATTGGGGGTGGGCAGAAATGGAACACAGTTCATGTCTCATAAATTGTTATTTCCAGGTCGATTCAGAGCTCCTTGATTTTGAAATATAGATTTTTTTTTCCCTCTGACGAATTTCCATCCAGTCATTTAAAATGGTCTAATCTGCTGATGTAAACTTCACCCTCAGACACATTTCCAGGCTGCTGAGTGGCAGGAAAGGCCACACGTCATTGCTGTAACTTTCCTGCTGCCTTCACTTTGCAGACTGCCAAGGGCTAAAGTGAATCTTTGCAAAATTGAAATCCTTTTATTATTGAACTAGTCCGTGTGGAAAATATTCCATGGGCAAATTATCTTTTAATAAGGCAGTTTCCTGCTTTCACAACCCCAAAGGCCCCTTAGTGATTTGAAATTCAGATATTGTGGTTCCCTGCGTTTGAAGTCAAGCAATTCTTACTGTCTTCCTGACACGTGACTCCCATGGGGATTTTTAATTTCATCCATGACGGCATGATCTTCCTTAGAGTGAGATGTCTGTTAAGTCCTTGACATAGAGTAGTAGTAAGTCTAGTGATCCTTAGGTCCAGCTGAATTTTAGGCAGATCTACCCTCCAAACACAGTAGCTGTGTCTTAGTGTGTACACATATACACAGAGAATATTACAGACAGACAAATGTTCCATGGAGGAGGAGAGTTTTAGAACCAGTGAACAAGACCGGCATTCTTAAGTTCCACACTGGATGCTTTGGACTGGAATTTCTGTTGCTGTGCACCATAGGATGTTTCATGGCCTCTCTGGTTACCGCTCACCAGCTTCCAGTTATGGCAACCAAAAAAATTTCTCCATCTCCTCGCACTGCCAAATATTTCCCAGGAAACAAAGCTACCGCTGGGTAAAAAGCACCAAACTGGACTGGCAGACATTCCCCCCTCATCTTTTCTGGTTTTCTTCTGTCCGTCCATCCCTTCATTTGCTCACTCATCCAATCCATCCCACACCTATGAGGCACCTTCACCGAGCACACACTGCAGTGGTCCGGTGCCTCAGTGGGCTCTGGTGGTGTTTCCTGACTGGTGTTGAGGTGGGCTCCAGGAACGTGCTACAGAATTCTCTGGATGCTTTGTATTTTCTTGATTTAGTGAGATTCATGGTTTTCTTTCTAATGGGATGACCTGTCCTCATAACTTAATAAAGGTAGTTAATGTTTATTAAAACTAACCATTTACTGGCCCAAGTGCTGAGCAATCTATGCAAATTACCTTCTTCTCATCCTCACATGACCTTGAGGTAGGAATTTGCATTTTTTAAGACTAAGTCCTAGAGACATTACATAGGTTTACAAACTTCCACAAATTTTGAGACATGGAATCAGAGCTCTGTTCATAGTCACAATCTACCCATCTGCCTACTCATTCACATAGGTCTTCTAATCCATCCACTCAGCAAATATTTATTAAATGCCTACTATGTGCTAGTAAGCCACTGAAGCTTTTCCAGTTGGCCTTTTGAGGGAGATTAAGAAACATCAAGACACCAGGTGGTCCTGGATGTCATGAGCTTCATCGAAGATCCCGGGTCTGGATCTCTTCATAGAAGTAGGTGCAGAGAAACCCCCTTTTGAGCCTTGGTCCAGAAGACAAACAATATGAATTGAGCATGGGCTTTATGTGTGAGTGTGCATGATGATGGTACTTTCAGAGAGATCACCAGCTCTTTAGGGTTTGACGTTACTCTGCTCAGCCTTATTTTATAGATGGCACAGTTGCAGCCCAGGAAGAAGGAAGATGTATTTTCCAAGATCAGCAGGGCACCAGTGCAATCACCAAGTTACAGATGAGTTCATGAGTCTGGACGGGTCATACACAAACTCATTGTTCTCCAAAAGAGCTCTGGTCTCTGTTGGCCATGAAAATGCCAGTGTGTGTATGGAAGAGTGAGGCAGGACATGGCAAGGTCAAGAATAGTCCTCAAGAGAGATGATTTAACTGCTGTGTACTGGATGAACAAGTTCGTTTGATTCAACTATAGTCTCGTGGGTGCTTTATCTTGGGACTAAGCACA